AAACAAAACGCATTCTCAAAACTACTGGTCTAGCTCTTTGGACCCTAGCTAAATACACAATGAGAGCAGATTAGAAGACAGTGGTGATTATCCATTGTCAGATGGATAGGTCTTCCTAGTTCAGTATTTACTTTTCAAAAATCATTAATTTCACAGAACACAAGCTTGATCAACAAGAACGTATGTCTCTAGTGTTCAAGATGAAAGATTTAAGCTTAGAAATCATAATTGGGAATATTATAGTTAGAAGGTAAGAAAGATAAATTTTGGGGCTTAGTAAGTCCACTTGCACCTGAAAATGGCCATTAGTGTAGAATGTGATTTGTGTTAATAATAATCTCCAAATTTGCAGTTCAGTCCTTCATTCTGTAGCAACTAAAACATTTTGGTACACCATAGAAGCCCTGTCTTCTATAGATAAAGCAACTTGAGTGTTTAAAAAAACTCAAGATGCTCAAGAAGTAAAATTCTCCAAAAACTATGACAACTCCAAAGAACCAAAATTACAGGTAACAGAACCCAAAGAGAAAAATTTTTATAAGAAAATGATTTAGTATGAATCCAGGATCGCCCCTGTGGGGGCTTTGGCCTAAAATAAAAGAATATCTAAAGAATCTAAATAGTCTGGTACTTCCCAGATCTTCCTAGAAGGAAATTAAAAATGTTTTTATGTGGCTGTGCTATCTTCCTTCAGCAATGCATTATTTTGCACAACTTCTTCCATCCTAAAATTAGAAGAACAAAAAACTTACAATATCAAAACATCTTCTTCAGAATAAATTCCAGTGATAACATATCCTTTTAGGTGGTTTCCTGCTTCAGTGAAATCTTCTTTTGCTATAAATACACAGACAAGACAAAAATCTGAAACCTTTGAAATAATGTATGTGATTCAATTGATGAAGAGATTAATATAGATGGTAGTTCATTATTAATTACAAAGATAAATATTTAAGTGTAGACCTCACATAACTTAGTAGTTCTAAAATAAATCTGTGTCCATTTTATGACATTTGATTACTCAAGAAATGTAAATTGATGTAATAAAACTATGGTTTCCTAAACAAATGTACTCTAAATGTAATTTATAAGATTCATAGCACTCTAATCATAGTTACTGAATAAATATTTGTTGGCTTTTAATTTTTCCTAAGACAGGGTAAATGGAGACAGTTATCAAACATGTAGCCTGAAAACAGAAACAGGTATGTTAAATGATGTGTACTTAACAATCACAATATCTAAAAGTGCCTATATGCATAAAAAAATAGAAGACTGGAAATTCCAGTCCTCTAACAGTGTCTGTGTTAGGATTGTGCAATTACGATGGATTTGTGTCTTATTTTTTATTTCCTGTATTTTCTGTAATGTGTTTTCGTTACTTCTGAACTTTGAATAATTTGTATTGATACAAATTAATGACAAATCTAATGACCCACGATGGTGCTAAATTTAGATCACAAAAGCCATAAAAGTAGCAGGGCATTTCAAAAATTAACAGATAATCTCTTGAGTAAAATGTTGACATAAAACTTATAAAATATATTTCAAAATGTATAGTTTATGGTATCCAAATGTTTTTGATCATTTGTTAGGATATACATATTCAAAATAAAAACTATTCCTGTAGATTTCTAAATATATTTTCATAAAAATAGCATATCCTGGATTATGTTAATGACTATTTTATGACGCAGATGCAAGTTTGGATTAAATCATTGTAGATTAATGAGAAAAAAGCAGAGGTGGATTTATAGGTAAATGATGTATTCTTGCCAAGTGAAGGCCAAATGATAGCTCAGCTCACGCATGAACAATTTACGGTAACTCAAACAGAAAAACACTGATGGAAGAATTGAGTCATAAA